TATATATATATATATATGAACCCATCCCCCTCCCCAATCACTAAATTTTATGATGTCTCTCATTAGTACCTTTTAAGAAAAAAAATGTTCATTATTACGTAGCTATATATTTTTAATTCCTAATTATGTTCTTCAAAGAGATACTCATGCAAATATTTATATGAAAGTCAATTTAAACTGAAATAAGCACAGGAAATTCACAATGAGGATAGAAAGGATACCCCTACTAGCTATACTATGTTAAGTAGAGACTGTTTCATATCCGTCTGCCTCAATAGCTTCTACCATTGATATGTCGCCTGTTCTTGCAATTTTCCCTTTGTCCTGATTTTTAAGAAGAAAAAAGAAAAGTCCATTCATGTTATTTCACAGCAGAGACATAATACATATACACAATCATTTTCTCATACACTATCTAAAACTGTTTTCTATGAAAGAAAAAAATATTCTATCAGAAGGCTAATAAATGCCCATATATACACAAATGAGACACGCCAGCAACACACTCTCTAACCCTCTCCTTCTAATATACTATTTATTGTTGTTTAAAGTTAACTGGAAGCTAAAAAATCATAGAGCTTATTAAATGAGAAGTGAGATTCACAAAATTTTATGATTTCCAATAAATTTTAGTTAATAACAAAAATGTGTTCAAAAGAGTGTGCTAGAATGTGTTGCTAGCATTTCTTTATAGTTTTAACAGAAATGAGGTGATCAACAAAGACTATTACACTACAGCATAGCTTGGATAAACTTCTTCACATGTACTAACTACTTATAGGAGAAAAAATAGTGAGGTGAAATGACTTAAACTTCTCTCATAAATAAAAACCTCTTTCAATTTTTGGAGAAATTAGATGAGAGAATGCTCATGCCAATTGGGAAATCTACTTCTTCAAGTTTGACCCTGACTTGAATTTGGTATTCTGCCTGCTCATGTCTACATGTTTTTTGGACCTTTTCCCCCCAACTTGCAAACTCAAGCAAGTTACAACTCAAACATTTAATAACATGCTCTTAACTACCAAAATCTCCCAAAGATAAAAACCAATTAAAATAAAAATACTTTCTTAACAGAATCCCAGCAAAAAAGGGATAAAGAATGTGATAGAGCTAACATCCTAGTTCCAATTATGAAAAGTTGAAACTCGTGCATCATATTCCTAGTCCAAAACTCAACAATAATGAAGATGAATAGTAAGTCATAAGTTACCATGACATGGACATGCGTGGGATTCAAAAGATCCAGAATCCGTCGATAATGAGTTATCATCAACAAAGATTTCTCTGGGGTGAGAATCCGGTTAACTGCATTGGAAACATCTCTGAGTGCATCAACATCCAACCCAGAATCAATTTCATCCAAAATAGCCAAGTCTGCCCCCAAAACTGCGAGCTGCAAGATTTCATTGCGCTTGCGTTCACCGCCACTAAACCCTTCGTTCACATTCCTATTGAGAAAGTCGGGCTTCATGTTAACTAGCTCAAGTTTCTCCATCAGGTAAGAAAAACACTGCAACGCAAAACAATCATAATTATAACATAACATAACAACAAGAAAAGAGAGATATTAATCTCCTCTTCAGATAAACTTTTCCATAAACACTTACAAGCGAAACAAATAAAAAAGTAAAATGAATGAAACTTCTCTCCCACGATTTAAAATCAATTTATGAACTTCAACTTTTATGATACCTCGAGCGGTCCAAGCTCAGGTAGACCAAGCTTTTTTCTGCGGGCATTGTAGGCCATGACGAGAAACTCATCATTGGAAACACCGGGGATTTCAACAGGGGATTGGAAACTCATGAAGAGACCCGCAAGAGACCTTTCTTCAGGTTCCATCTCAAGCAAATTCTCACCTTTGAACACAACACTACCCCCAGTTACTTCATAATCCGGATGCCCCACAAGAACCTGCATATAGTTCAATTACTATCATCACATTTCAATACGAAAAGCCTTTTTTTTTAAATTGAATTGAATGAAAGAGGGTAGGTAAGTGTTTGACCTTGGCGAAAGTGCTTTTGCCAGAACCGTTTTTTCCCATGATGGCGTGGACCTCTCCTTGGTTGACGGTGAGGTTAACGCCGTGGAGAATCTCGACGTTGGATTCCACGATTTTGGCCCTCAGGTCATTGACTTGGAGGAGGGGAGCGCCGCCGCTGGCGACGCAAACGCGGTGGTTGGCGCGGCGGAGGGTGGGTTTTGGGGTTCGCCGGAGAGGAATAACGGTGGGAGAAGAGTGGGTTGGTAGGGTTAAAGCCATCACTGCACTGAAAGAAACGCTGAGAATCGAACTGCCCAAACCCCCTTTTGCTATCCTATGCTTGTTTTTTCTGCCTCCAGCCTCCAACTCATACCTCCCATTTTATTTATTTATTTTCCTATATGATCGTCTTGCATTAAATAAAAAAATGTGCACCTTTACTGTGTACACCAATTATTTTACATTAGAAAAGTTATAGCGTCTACCCCTGTAATAAAATAAAATATTAAAAATAATAATAATTATGTATACAGTTGACTAATAAGAAATTATTAATTATACAATAGTTTGTAATTATATAATAGTTCTTGTAAAAAATTTCAAATGTCTTTTGCACCATGTTAGGTGTGAGAGTACTAAAAGGATCCCTATTGCTGGACATAGAGGATGTCACGTTAAACACAACAGAATTAGAGAAGTTTCTGACCTCTTGAACTTGGGTGCAAACGAAGCTACATCGGACACAATGATGATAACGGAAGAGCATAGGAGAGGGAAAGATCAAGCCTTTGAGACAAGTGTGAAATGAGTTGTTTATATGAAACAATGTTGATACTTGATATGCGAAATTCTAGCAAGAGCTTGATAGTGAGAAATCCAAGACAGGCTTGGTTATTTTAAGAGACTAAACATAAAGGTATGATAGTGTGATGAAGTAGGATGATCGCTATACGCATTTATGTGTTGTGTAATGTGATTAGAGTTCACAATGCATATATGCATAGTTTATTCAGAGGCAGGTTGCTTTCCTATGTGGGAAGGCTTTTATGATCTTTTATCTTGGTCTTGAGGTGTTATAATCAAAAACCTCTAACATTGTAGGGAGGTATTCATGACCAATTATAATACTACAATTGACTCATGATAAAATTTGTTCTAGTGAGAGTGGACCGTGAGATAGGTGGCCTTTGTGATTTTGTTTGTGTGCTCCTCAACTGATTCATTTATAAACGCCTTGTGCAGTTTCAAGAATGGTATCATGTGCATAAAAAATTAAGAACATGAGTCACATGAGTCCTATGTTTCATGGGAAATGAAAACGTATGAATTGAGATTGAGACGGTGATGAATGGTGTTAACGTGAGATATGATGTGTGTGTTTAGATGTTATTCATGTTCTTATATTCTTATTCATCTTACTTATTATCTTAATTGGATGGAAGCAAAACGTTATTTTTAAGTGTTGACAAGATAGATGAGTTTGAATATGTTGGAGACAAGACTTAGGCTTCGATTAATATTTGATGGGATTGTTTTGTTAGTGTGATATCAAAGCTTAACACGTTAAATAATGCTTGCATTTACTCATGTTTGATATTGAAAAAAATTCAAGTTTTATCTATACTAAATTATTAAAAAGGGTTGCTTATCATTTATCTGCATATTAAGCCTAATAATTTTGGACATAAGTGGGTGTTTTTCCAAAAAAAAAAATAAATCTCACATTGACTAAAAATATAACAGTCTATAAAGAGGAGACATCATTCACTTTACAAGTTGATCTTACAAAATTGAGTTACACTCAAGTCTACTGTGATATCAAAGTTATCCTAAGTTCATTAAAAACTCAGGTTTCATCTATATTAGATTATTAAAACTAAAAGGGTTGTTCACCATTTATACATGCATCAGGTCTAATAATATTATGTATTAGGAGGTTGTATTGGAAAAAATATCAAAGTCTCACTTATGCTAAATCATTAAAAAAATGGCCACTCACCATATGTGAGGATATATATTGAGAGAAAAAAATTAAAATCCTACATCAACTGGAGATAGGACGAAGCAAAAAGTTTATAACTAGGAAAGAGTATTTACCATACAAACTAGTTTTGTAGGGTTGAATCCAAACCCATTATTCTAACATTTGATTTGAGAACCTTAGTTAAATTTGGAGTCTTTTTTATTATGTTTTTCTTTATTTATGTTATTTCTTTTGTAAACTTGTAAAAACAACGAATAATAATGTGAATACTTTTGTCTGTGAAGAAAATCATTTTAATCAAATTTAACATTGTAATTGTTATCTTGTTACATTGAAAACATTTTGGGATAGAAGGAGTGTCATGTGTTGAACTAGTGTTGGGTTTCCAATTTTCCGTGCATAGTTTGTCATTTCAATTTCTTTCACAACATAAACAATGTTTTGCATCATCATCATACACCGATCATGTAAAATGACTTTGAACTTTGAACTATCAATTAATATTATAATGATTTTTTATTTATTTATTATAGAAGACAACAATTTACTACATCTAGTAACTTGTGATTAGATGATAGTGTAAAATTAGTGCATCACCTATTTTTTTCATTTCTAATTACACTTAAAAATATAAAAGTCTTAAATAAGATTTTAATTCTTATAAAATGAGTAAGTTTTAATTTTGATATGTATAAAAAAAATTCTTGCTTAAGATTTATATGTAAATTTTATCTTAAGCCTCATAAATTTTAAGCATGGGTCTCCCTTAAAGATATAATAAGTATTCTAATTTTAAGAAATAGGCAATTACAATAAATAAATATATATATATATATATATATATATATATAATTAATGTTATATGTATGGCGTACAATAAATCAGATGTAATACTGAAATATGCTGGAACTTGTCTATTATTAGATGAGTTTATAACAAACATAAAACATGTGAATAAATATTTTTCCTTTAATAATCTTATAAATAGAGGAAGATGACTGAACCAACTCCCCCTAATACATTTGGTATGCACTTGTGTTGAGTACAAGGAAGGAGGACTATATGATTCACACTATTTTTTGTTCTTGATTTAAATAAGAATATTGATAAAAGAATTAAAAATATATACACGTGATCATTCAAAGTGCATTCTTCATGACGTGTAACGAGCGTCCTCTCGCCCAATATAACATGTTCTCATTTCTAATATGCTTTTAATTAACGCACCTTTTTTTTTAATTAAAGTATGAATTTTTTTCTTTCTAAATTACCCTTCTTTCTATTGAAAGCTACAATTATTACATTATATTATTTTTTATATTAAAAATTATAATATCTTCCTTCAACAAATTTTAATATATAACACTTTATTCATTTTTTAAATTTTTCATTAATTCCGGTCATAAGAAAAAAAATATATCATCAAAACAGTTTTTATACTGATATTTTATCAAAGATGTAAATATTACACGACCTTCCTTTTTTTATAAATACTTTTCTTCTTAAAAATTTAAACATGCTATATTTTAAAAATATATCTCTTAATTTGTATATTTAATTATTATTTTAAAAATTATTATATATTTTTTT